AACCAACATTTATTGTCTTTGACCTTTCACCTGACATCTATCTCTATGAACTTCTGATACCTTTGAGCTAAACAATTCAAAGAATACTTCACTTTACATTTGTGAATATTTAATGATGTTTTAAAACAATAATTATGATTTGTGCCTTAAAGGACAGAGGAACTCCCATTTAAATGCACACAGGAACTTGTATTATTTATCAACCAATGAGAAATAGATGAACAAAACAATATTTTGAGCATCATTAAACATGCAACATGTCTGCCGGTGCTTTCTTATTGTTTGGGTTTTAAGTTACCCTAACACTGATCAAATTACATGGCAACTTTCCTGCTTTATTTATGACTGCAAACTCTATTTACAAGTGCATTATTTTAAGCAAAAATTTGAACCTAATTAGAACCACTGGTCAACTTCCTAGATAGGTTCCTCATATTTAAGGCCCTGATGTCCAGTCAATGTATTTAAGATTTTGAATTTACTAGCCAGAATTCCAGTTTTCAATTTATTCTTGAAACTGTATATTTTATTAAATTTTCTTAAAATTTTCACTGGCCCGAACTATGGGCCACCGGGCCAGTGCTAAATTCGATGATGTCTCAAACCTACATGTACAGCAGTGAATGACAACAGATTCTAAGTCAGCATCTTAACCACTGAGCCATGAAAGCCTAACATGTAAGGGATTTAAATTTTCTAATATCATGTAAACTTTGATGATAATTAATAAACAAAAACCATAGTATAAAAAAATTAAACAATTTAAACAGCTAAAAGGAGCGACATAGGAGCAGCTGTAGCTGTTTAAGATGTTTATTTTATTCTTATTAGCATATATAACTAACCTATATGGTCAGTAACAATAGTCTCTACATTTGTTTAATAGGCATGCATAGTGGGTTATTTAAAGTTAGATCTATATGACATTTGAAAGAATGGTTTAAAACAGTGAATGGATGCAAAGTTTATGAGAAATAGAAATTTTCTCATTGGATGAGAAAGTACTACTGTAGGACACTGACTAAATATAGTTATAACCCTTGGATTTGAACTCATAAACCAGGACTTTATTTAAACTGAGGTGGGAGATTAGAGGCCCTTCCCTTTAATTTGATGGTTAATAACAGGGTAATTGTGCTTAATGGGAAAAAATTGAAGTAAAACTTAAAATAGCATTTTAAAGAAATCCTGCATTACTTTAAAGAAATGCCTTCGCGAGACACCTGTAAAATAGCTCTTTTTAAAGAAACAATGCCTAGTCAACCTAATTGTCACCCATGCAACAAGATATTGTGCTATTTTGTGTCTGGGCAATATCTCGCCTCTACAAAGCGAGACTCTGACCCAGAATGAAAATATCTCAGAATCTAGCTTTGGCATGTCAGTATATTTTGACTAAAACAAGGCTTGGCTAGCTCTGGGTTCAAAGATTTTATGATCTGCTCAATAACCTAACAACAGACTGACGTTCTTTACAGTAAACAGTTCAGTCTCGTTCAATGCCTGTGTCAGTGTTTCAGTAACCAACATGTAATTTTAGATTTACCTTATAAAGTTATAATAAAAATGTATATGTCACTTAATTTTGTAACCCTAGTCAAGAAGAGTTCTGTTTTCTTTTTACAAATGTCTGCAATTATCTCTACATACTAACTGTATACATATCTCAATTAAGTATGTTACAGCAATTTATCTTTGAATGATATCAATCACAGGAGCTTGACGATTCTATCATAATCAATTTACTAAGAAATTACGGCAAATATAACCCTCTATACAATAAATTATTTATTGTATAGAGGGGTTTATTTGCCGTTTTTCTTAATTATTTGCTTATATTTTTTCAGTCAAACTCCTGTCTATCATGCAATTCACAATTGACCCACATAACCCATTAGAAATACAAATTGATTTTAAGTGCTCTGTTGTACAGAAAAGGTCACAAAATGGGTGTTAACAACCTAGAAACTAGACTACTACATAAACACTTAATAATTACTAACAGATAGGGTGGGTAGGCTATTTGTAAGTTTTTTTTAGTAATGTAGGGGCTTGACATTTCTTCTGAGTCACACATGAGTGACCACCTCATGTCATGAATAGAAAGATTAAAAAAGTAAAAAAGAAAGACTGACAACTTTCTTTAAAATGAAGATTCCTATTGTAAATATTTCTCAATAAATACATTTCTATTACCAACGTTCAGAAAAAGAAACTGAATTTTCTTTACGACAAATTATCCCGATATTTTCCAAAAATGTCAACAAACAAAACCCTACCGTCTGAAGCAATTACGATGGGGTCTGTCGAACCCTCTGCCATTTTCTGTGCCTGGAATGAAGATTCGACCTTCCCTTGACGGATCTATCCAGTAACTGAACTCATATTTCTTCCATGAACGAATTCTCGGGACAAAAAATACACCCTACTAGGAACTCCGTTTAGCTGGATCTAATTCAGTAATTGCGGAAATTAATGTCACGTGACCAGTAATGTTTGGTTTTTAGCAAAGTTGCTTCCCTTTCTATAACGAAACCGAAAGTAGAACAAAAAATAGAACGTATTTAATAAGTAAACAACATGTTTACACCATTGGGAAGTGAAGATAGTCATATACATGTAAATAATTCTCAATATACATGTAAAGAACTCTTATTTTAGTAGAAAATCATCTAAATTCTTTCATTTTCATGCATGTCAATGAAAAAACTATTTGATTCTAATTAATTGAATCATATTCAATAGCTATACTTAGTATGCTTAGTCAATATATTACAAAGCAACCTAAATAGTACACGCCTTTATTTCTGCCTTTTTCATCATCTAATTTAATAACCACAGGTTCACGGTGCTACCTCCCTTTTCGGCCTTTTCCATCAATCATCGGATTTATAAAAATACTTTCAATGACCACCTTAAGTAGATCAAACCTGGCACTTACGATCATTTCTAAGACTCTGTTATAATAACGACAATACTTTAATAAGATGCTATCAGAAAAAGATATTTATTTCATTTTCTTTTATTTTCAATTTTCATTCTTGTTTAATAAAACTTCTCTTCCTTTAAATAAATTTGGGGTCATGGAAAGGATGTAGACTTCCGCGTCACGTGCAGGATTCCCAGTCCAATATCCTAGAATAGTTTTAATGAAAATAATTTGATTAAAACCATAAAAATGTACCACGTTGATCAATATATGAGACTTATTTAAAGTTCAAAGTCTGTTAATCATAAACCCTAAAATAAAGAAGGCCCTATAATATTGTATATCGGGACACAGACATATATACAAATGATCGGGATTTCCAAACAATAAATGGAATTCCTATGTAATACCCGTTGAAAATCACAGATTTACTAGAATTAGGGAACACGGACGCGGACGTTAACTAAAGTCATAAGACCAACTTAAGTTATATGGGGGCATTTTAAAATTTAAAATTCATTTAATAAGCATATAAGAAAGGTGATTGAAGAAAAAAGAGCTTTTCAAAGTAAACGCGAATTACACGAGTATCTTCTCAATCGGCACACCTCGGCTTTTATTTATAACCGAAATTTGACGGAAAGGACCGAAAAGATGCGATTGATTTTGTATCCTATGCAACATTCGTTCATCACTGTTTGAGGCCCTGTAAATAATACATGCATGTTTACTTTCAAGGCTTACCGGCTTTAATTCGCAATAATCTCGATGCGATGTATTTTGATGAATTATATGCATTTACTTAATTAACCTTTTACTCCATGAGCATATTGTGAAAAATGGTCGTTTTCATTGAAAAGCCTCCTGTTACAAGTTCCAACTGCTATAAAACTATGAAAAATGCTTTGAACAATACTGATGAAACTTGGCACATATGTTGATTGAACCATAGCCTCTGTAACAACATGCTCAATCTTAAATTTTCTGTTACCATGGCAACGGGGGACGTCTCAAAATTGCGACTACCCCAAACAGAAGGGGCAGACCCCTGATGTATCATTGTGATTGGGGGCCGCGCCGAAAAAGTGGTCACTTTTTTTAACAACATTTCTCAAACGAAAAACAGTATTTGGGGCCAAAATAGGGCATTTTAAACTGTTGAGACCTCAAAAAGGGGGGGGGGGCAAAAAGCCGTCAAAACACGTCTATATGAGGGAAAATGTTAATGCATTTTCGACATGCATTAATTAGATATATAGATCTATTATATTACCACAGTAATATGACTGGTAAACACTACAGTCTTACTTAGATTTGTTGATGAGAAAAATGATTTTTTTTTCACATACGTCTACTTTCTTGTTTCTTCTGACCGTTCTATTTTAACAAGTAATCATATCAGCGATGACGAGTGAATCATTTCTTGGAATGCTCTGTTGAAATTTGTAGTATAATTAAAATTATTACAATGTGATGATTCTGGTTAAGTTTAAACAGGGTCTTCCTATTTTAAAGACCCTGGTTTAATCCGGAAGTGAAAACTTTGACTCTACCCGCCCTGCCTCTCCTCACCCCTCCGCCCCATCCGTAATTTCATATCAGAACAGAACACATTCCTGATTTCATATCGAATAAAACAATAAAAAGCAGCCGCACGAGTTGACTCTTAATTTCACAGGGAAAATTTGCATGATCATCGGTTTGTCTGGCAAGTTTCCTTTAACACACAGTACAACCTCTGCAGAGGAACGCCCTTTATAAAGGAGACAAACTGTTTTGTGAGATGCTGAGAAGTACCTGTTGCTCTCAAAAGGTTTAATCTATTGTAAGGTTTTACTTTGGGAAGAGATTCTACTGTACTTGTAACGAGGGCATTGCTCTACGGATGGACACTTAAAAAGGTCGCACTGTATTTGTTTCCACTGTTTATCTTTACAATAATTCCTTTTGTTTTTTTCCAGTTTTCAACCATGTCATCACGCTCACCAACACAATGTTTATAGAATTTTATTATAAAGCAAAGGCTTTACTTATTATTCTTTATACGATTGTGTTGATATGGCTTAGCAATCATTGACATACACACCGATGATCATGCATATTTTCCCCTGAAAATACCAAAACAGACAGAAAAGTTACAAATACAGACAGAAAAGTTACGACTGCTGTTGAGCTGTTCTGCTGTTACTTTTTTTCCAGTTTATAAACATTCAGTTATGTCATCACAACTGTCAGACTATTTACTTATTTGTTGATTTTATTGTAAACATACTAGACAGACGTAACAAAATAAATTTTGTCACGTACTCCCAAGTTTTTAATATAAAGGGCAGCAACTCATTTTTTGGACTTACAAGGTTAGTCGTGTAGTTATTTGCCCTTTGAAGTTTATTTAAACGCAACAAATGAATAAATATCAATTACCTCATGTTTTTATTATTTGTACAAAGACGGTTTTTATAAAAACACCTTTAGAATATCCGCCAGATTTCCGTTTTGTGCATTGTTTAACGACTTTTAAAATATGTCTACAATTTAAAGAGGAAACACGCCTAACTTTTGTTAAATGCGTTTACAGAAATAAACCAAATGCACCCAAGTAAGGTTATTTCTACACAGTATATATAAACCTGTTTGCTTCACGTACTCGCAAGAAAGATACAAGTTAAAATATAGGGTACAGTGATCGGAAGTAACGTGTCCTTGTACTCGCAAGACAGGGTACAGTGATTTCGTATATATACTGTGTTCTAGCTCACTAGCTGTTAGTGCATAGGTCAGTCGGTTTAGTTATTTTGATATTCTTCACATTTTCTATGACATTCTTCGCAATTTAATTTGTTTTCACCGAAGAAGTATACCCGGTCAGGTTAAAAAGGTTGTAAAATTCTTTAAAGTTTATCAATCCAGTATGATATGATATTGTATGGGCTGATTAATAATAATGAAGTATATATAGGAAGTTATATATTATGACATACATGTACATGTACCACTGAAATTAATTATACAATGAATGTATTCACCATACTATAGTATTTTTTTTATTTTGGGGCTCTTGGAAAATTGAACAATAATTTTTTTGTAAAAAAAAAGAAAAGAAAACGAATTTTAATTTTCGAGTGTACGCTATTGATTTATTTTATATAAGTACATGTATGCCGCGAAGTATTAGATTTAAAGTGAAATGGTTCACAAAGGAAGGCATGATTATGTTGATTGTATTAAATATATGTGACAACAAACCACAAAATAATTATATATGGTTGTTGTTGGTAAGTGTAAGACACTGTTATTGTCACGTCTTTTCTGTTGTTGGTGTTTTTCTTCTTACTGGAACTTTTTTATTTCTATGAATGATAATGAAATTGTGATGTTTTTTTGTTCCTTTATATGCAGCTGTCTGTTCTCCGTTAGAATGTCATCAGTTAAAACTTTTTATATTCTTCTTATTATTTTTTTCTTTGCTTTTGTCATGTGACCACAGAATTATTATATTTGTAATTATTGTATGTAACGAGATACTGTAAATGTATAAGTTACCGAAATAAACTATTTCTTCTTCTTCTTCTTCTGTAAGAAGTATGGTTCGATTTGACATATATCTATGTACCAGGTAATTATAACTGTCCTTAGAAATCAAAATATTATTATTTTTCATATAAATGTTCATATTAATTACCAAAAAAATCAAAAAAAACTCTATCAACATTTTTTTTGTCCATAAGTATGTTATAAGAATATCCAAATGATGTGTTTTTATTGTATATACCAATAATTGAAATACTTATGGAATATGTGCAAATTGTAGACCAATCCAATAACTGATGTTTTTTATTGTGTATACCAATAATTGAAATACTTATGGAAAAATATGCAAATTGTAGACCAATCCTCTAACACTGATGAAATGTTATACTATTAAAACAACACAGTAAACAGTTATTATTAAGGATATGTCTGCTGTGTTGATAAGAACTGACTTTGGTATTACTGAAATACATTGAAAATGTTTGTCTGTCCATTTGTATACATGTCGGTTCGTTACCTCAATAACTTTTAAGCTGCTAACAAGTAGTAGAATAATGCCAATAACGTATGCGTGAACACAGATGAAGACTATTGTATCGTTCAATTTCCTTACATTGGTAGTATAAAAGATGAAAATCTGACGTTTATTAATTAATAAATTTTAATGGTTTATGGTTTGTAAATATTTTAACAGGGTCTGATGTTTGACATGCATTTCTTTATCACATAACCCGTGCCGCTTTAAACACTTTTGCACGACCGTGCATGTATTTTGACATGACGTCATTTGCGCGTAAAGACGCTCTAAATAATAACGTTGCATGTAGGCGCGTAAATAATAAAAAAGGATTACATTTTGTAAGGCATTGAAAAACAATGCACCTCATTCTAAAGTGCAGATAGTTTACCCTACAGAATTTATTCAAGATGGAAAGCTGATTCCTCTGTTTATGTATTTTGATGTTGTGCCACCGTATGTAGCTGATATAATCGGTGTTAGAGTGATAAAAACAGAGACTACAGTTCAAAGCTAAAGCCGG